TTCCCCATATGTTGAGGCAGCCTGTGGTGGGCACTCCGTCAATAGTGCCAACCCCTCCTGACAAAGTGCCTATAGAAGCCAGGGGCTGTGCCAGCACTTTCTAGCACCTTAGTTAGTTTACACTATCCACCCGCTGCCCCCCAAGCAGGTATCACCATCCCTGGTGTATGTACAAAGGAACTCTGGCTCAGAGGGTGACCTCTTCAAGGCCCCTCCACCAGGCCTAAATGGCATGGCTGGGCCTGGAACCTACGTTGATTGGGAGCCAAGTTGCCCACTCTCTCCAATACTCCTGGCGGCTTTGGGGGCCTGTAGTAACTACCACTACAACAACAGGTGGGCAACAGGTGCACATGCTCAGTAAGAAGGTCTGGGTGAGGTTGCTGTGGTAGCTACTAATATTTGGAAAATTCTATAGTTTTTAGAGGCAAAGTTACACAGACCAGGTAGCAATATGAGAAAATGCCCATAGACACAGTATTAAGTGAAAAAAGGTATCATTGCCTGCACATTCAAATGACAGTAGTGACGAAGAAACAACCAGGAAAGACTGGCAAGGAATTCCAAAATGCTACAATCTGTAAAAAAATAGTGGGTGATTTTTGTTTTGTTTTCTAAATCACCTGTAGTGAGTGCTGTTTTGTTACTTTCTAAATTAAGAAACTAATACATACATAGTTTTCTCACAATGAGCTCAGATTTGCTTTCCTGAGCTCCACCTGCTCCCCATCTCTGGTCCTTGTGTCTGGGACATCTTTTGCCATGGGACACCCTTCTGTTAAGACGCAGCCCCTTAGATACATTAGGGTCTCTTCCTACCATGTCTTTCCCAGGCCAAACACCTCTGTTTTGGAGGGACTATGTGTCAAGGCTTTGAAATTCCTCAAAAGATGAAACTCAGAACTAGACCCAGGCTATCCTGCCTGCTCAGGCCTCATCCCACTGTGGATCCTTAGCCTCAATCCCTGCCTGCTCTCAGATGCTCCATAGGGCTCAACCTCTTGGGGCCTGGTGTCCCCTGCACTGGTGCTGGGGACCATTTTCTGTCCTTCCTTGCCCCCAACCCAACTCAAAGAGAAAAGGAACCAGTTCTGAGAAGGAGGGAGGGACCAAGCTTGCCAGATAAAAAACACATCCCTGCACACATGCTAGCGTGAAGCCAGACCCTTTACTATGAAGGCCTTAGGACCCCAGCCACACCAGTACAGGTCATAGTTGGTTGGTATAAAAGCACCTAACCATGTCAGGCCTCAGCTCCAGCCCCTCAGGCTGGAAAGAAAATTACGGCTAGGTGAGGGGAGCCCTCACAGGCCAACCACATCTGGATCCCTTCCACTTTGCATGTCAGGATGACCAGAAAAAACAACAACTTTAAAAATCAAGGGTATACCAAAACCGGTTTGGCTCAGTGGATAGAGCGTCGGCCTGCGGACTGAAAGGCCCCAGGTTCGATTCCGGTCAAGGGCATATACCTGGGTTGTGGGCACATCCCCAGTAGGAGATGTGCAGGAGGCAGCTGATCGATGTTTCTCTCCCATTGATGTTTCTAACTCTCTCTCTCCCTTCCTCTCTGTAAAAAATCAATAAAATATATATTTTTTAAAAAATCAAGGGTAGAGGCCTGAGCTGGGCTCAGACATGGCTCAACATCCTCCAGGGAACCTCCCACCCTTTTCAGGAGCAAGAGGATCCTGCCACACTCCCAATCTCCCTCTTGCTGCCTTCACCATTCCTACTGAGGTCCCACCTAAAAAGACACTGGAACCCCCATGGTGTGGGGATCGTGGAATAGGCCCCTGGTGCCCCTGACAATGCTCCTATGCCAAGGCTGTAGGGTGCTCCCTTTGGAAACAGGGCTCTCATTTTCCCATCTGGATCCCATTCACATCCTGAGCCTGGCTGTCCCTGTGCTAGCTAGGACCAAGGTGTGGGACAGCTGGGTTGGAGCTCACCATCAAGCTGTTTCAGCTCAACTCTAGGGCCAACTAGATGGGTGCCCCCACATATTCACCACATCCCCATTGGTGGGATCCAGCCGCAGGCACCAGCAGGGAAATCCCATGGCGGAGCAGATGCTGTCTGAGACCTACCCAGCAGAGCTGGGGCCGGAAGTTCTCTCCCTCCTCGCCAGCCTCTGTGGGGCACATGCTCGCTGCACAGGGTCCCCTGGGCCAGGCTGGGAGCCTGTGTCCCTGATGGGTGAAGATGACCGTCTGGTTGCCCTTCAACCTACAGAAGCCCTCCACCTGCAGTGTGGGGGATGCAAGGACAGACGGCAAAACTACCAGTAAAATCCCCCTTTGAGCCTCAGTTCTCTGGTCTACAAAATGGGAGAGGAGCTGAACCTAGTTAAGCTCCAAGAATCTGGTGGCTGGACACGCCCCTTCCTAACACCTGGCCTTGGCCCCGAGAGAAGTCGAGGAGAATGGGCTGACCAGACTGCTAGGTGGTGGGACATGGTCCTCACACCCAGTGTTACCTCCACCTCAGACCAAGGCCCTGCCCAGTGTCCCCACCCAAGGCCAGAGGTCCCTTGGCTTAGGCTGGTCTGGGAGGCTCAGGGTGACAAGTTCACCCTCTGGGCCCTGGGCTTCCTGGAGCCGGCAGAGCCTCAGCTGAGGGAGGGAGGGGAGGAGGGGTCAGAACCAGACAGGCCAGGGGTCAGAACCAGACAGGCCACGGCACAGCAAACTGCCCTTTCCCCAGGCCCCTCCCTCCGGGTCCGGCCAGCCTCCACAGGGGAAAAAGGGGGCACTCGGGGCCGCTGAGACCAGTCTGTGGGGCGCAGAGGGCAGCAGCCCCTCCGGCACTCCCCTCCGGCGGGCTGACAGGAACTCCCGGGAGAATTCGAACCCAGGAAGGAGGGGCAAGAGAAGTGGGGGATGGGAGTGGACGCGAAGCCAAAGCAGCGGCATGGGAGACCTACCCTCGGCTCCGGGAGGCGCTCCCACGCCCACCTCCTCCAGGCCTGCCCGGCACTC